GGAACCTCGCCTGAAACTAAACTTATTTCCATCTTCCTCCACCTTCATTCATAGATAAAGCGATACTGAAAGCAACAGTCTCCATCCGACCAAGAAGAGAAGGTTTGTTGAGAAAGCTTCACTACAACGAACCCCAAAAGACCTACTCCCTTACCTTGGCTTCCTTTTTCTTCTCTTGCATCTATATATCCTTCTTCTTTCTCTCCTTCATGTGAGCCGTGACTCCGAGGTTCAGATGCTACCTCGCCGGAAAGCGTCGATTCTCGCATCAGAAGCCTTCAGCATGAAGCACTCGTCCTTTAGCAACGGCCGGAAGAACGGCAAGTACTCCCTCTTCGTCATCATCTTCTCGGTGTTCCTCTTCATCACCTTCATGTACAACGAGGACGTCAAGTCCATCGCCGAGTATCCTTTCAGCAGCAGATCTAAGTCGCCGGATATGTCTCACGAAGAATTCCCCATCGTGGAGCCGAGCAAAGAGGAATACCATGAAACCAACAACTTCCGCCACGCGCAAGAGCAGGCCGACGAAGAATTCGCAGAAGATACTGTGAAGGTGGTGTTACCACAGGACGACGACGTGAGGGTGGTGGACGTGCACGAAAAGCCGGCGAAGGAGCCGGAGCCAGAGCGGGAACGGGTGGTGCTCGACGTGCCGGAGAGTTGCGACCTGTTCACCGGCGACTGGGTGTACGACGAGGTGAGCTACCCGATATACAAGGAGCCGGAGTGCGAGTTCCTGACGGAGCAGGTGACTTGCATGAGGAACGGCCGGCGCGACGACGACTACCAGAAGTGGCGGTGGCAGCCCCAGGGATGCTCTCTGCCGCGGTATATATATTCTTCCATGACCACCAAATGATCGATCCCTTACGAGGTTTGCCGACTGATTTGGACCGTTTGGATGAGGGAAGGTTTGATGCGCAGGTGATGCTGGAGAGGCTGAGGGGGAAGCGTCTCATGTTCGTGGGCGACTCGCTAAACCGCAACCAGTGGGAGTCGATGGTGTGCCTAGTGCAGTCCGCAGTCCCGCCGGAGAAGAAGACCCTCACCAAGAATGGCTCGCTCAACGTGTTCCGCGCCTTGGTAATCCACCCGTCCGCATCGATCGATCACGACTCGTTCATCGGATGACGGCTGACCATGGTATGCTTGGTGTGGGCAGGAGTACAACGCGACGGTGGAGTTCTACTGGGCACCGTTCCTGGTGGAGTCGAACTCCGACGACCCCAACATGCACAGCATCCAGAACCGGATCATCATGCCCAAGTCGATCGCGAAGCACGGCAGGAACTGGAAGAACGTCGACTACCTCGTCTTCAACACCTACATCTGGTGGATGAACACTCTGAGGATGAAAGTCCTGTGAGTCGGATCCCTTGGTACGCTTCGCCCACCGAGGTTGGTTTGCAGGACTGACGAGGTTGGGGTTTGGTGAAAGCAGGCGAGGATCGTTCGAGGAAGGATCGACGGAGTACGACGACGTGGACAGGCCGGTGGCGTACAGGAGAGTGCTGGATACATGGGCGAAGTGGGTGCAGAGGAACGTGGATCCCAGTCGGACCATGGTGTTCTTCATGAGCATGTCACCCAACCACATCAAGTAAGATGGGCAGCAACCTCTTCATTCATTGTTTTCGTTGTTTGATCACCAAATCTAAGATGACAACAAAGTCAATAGATAGAATTGGGAGCACGGCAATGGAGCACATCCCGTGGCGGCTGCTGTGTCTTGTTCAACCACCAACCCGCTAGCTGTGAGCTAGAGAGAGAAAGAAGTAGATGAAACAATAGCCGTTGCGGAGAGTTCAACTCTCGTTCTTGTGGAGGCTTCATTTTTAGAGGATCTGACAGTGACATGAGATACGCCATAACAAAGATCGACGTAGATCGAGAGGATAACCCTAAAGCAAGAGTTTATCTCGTAGTGGGACTTCTCGTTACCTTACTTAGCGCTTGATGTACTACAGGAGCACGGACTGGGACAACCCGGAGGGGATCAAATGCGCACTGGAAACGCAGCCGGTGACGAACCTGTCGCATCCGCTGGACGTGGGCACCGACTGGCGGCTGCTCACGGTGGCGGAGGAGGTGATGGAGGGCATGAAGGAGAGGGTGCCGGTGTCGTTCGTCAAGATCACGGCGTTGTCGGAGTCCCGCAAGGACGCGCACACCTCCGTGCACACGCTCCGGCAGGGGAAGCTGCTGACGGCGGAGCAGCAGGCCGACCCGGATACCTACGCCGACTGCATCCACTGGTGCCTGCCGGGCCTCCCCGACACCTGGAACGAGTTCCTCTACGCCCGGATCGCCTCCGCCCCGTGGCGTCCCGATCGCTGGCTCACGGCTGCATAGATACCTTTCTTTCCTAATGTCAGAAAACCTTGATCTCTTTCTTTTTCTTACATTTGTTTCCTCTGAAGGATTCTGAGATCATAAACTCAAACGAGGGTTCCCAACCGGTGTCATTGTTAGTGTCGATAGAAAGCATAAAACAGTAACAATAATTATTTTTTTTTTATATAAAAAAAATCGAACTTCTGGCATTTCTTGAACTCGAAGAATTCTCACGGCATGCGAGAAATCAGAGTGGGAGTGGAGTTGTTGCTTGTGTCCCGTTGGTCCAAGTTCGCACGGTACAAGTCTCATGTGACAACATTCTGTTTGGGTTTCCCAAAGCAATCCACGGATGAACCTTCACCCATCTCATTTATGCACAAGTCAAACAAAATCTTCATGAACTAAAAGTATAATATCTGAATTAAAATCTATAATCAACACGACAAAGATGATTAAATTGTATCATCTGCAAAAGATACTTGGCTCGTTGGTCAAAGACAAAACGATCATACCACACTGGGAACCCCACTGCGGCCAGTAATTAAAACCTGGTGGGTTTCCACCATCCCACGGCTTCTCTTTTCGATCCAATTATTCTTGGAAAAAAGAAAAGTCCACCACCCTACGGTCTCTCAACTTGTTTCCTTCTCTTTCTATCTGATGAAAAAGGTCAACCACGGCTAACTCGTGATTAACAGGGGACCAAAAGCTGTTCGAATCAATCGCATGTCCGACCAACTCTTCTAACAGATAGTTTCTGGGGATAACGTATGCCTCCAGCAAAGGACTCGGGGTTATTTAACCTATAGCAGTTGGTTCTCATGCAAGAAGGGTCGAATCTACTTCAACTGCGATGGCTTGCCAACGAAAAGCATTGCTAAGATGCCGATATTTGCTTGCATCTGCAGCAAATCACCAACCAGGGCGATCACCGCCACCAAAGGTCAATGTCGAGTTCGTAAAACAAGAGCAATCCAGTACTGATGATATTTACTAGTGCACCTATTTTCTCTGCAAATTGAAGTCTTTTCTTGTACACCGTATGATTCTTTTCTTGTGCAAGCGTAACATAATGGATGCTACATTTAAGCCCATACTGAACAAAAGTTTTGCTGACATTCCTCTCGCATCACATCAATCAAGCCCCCCTTTTAAAGGGGCAATCAACCCATTTAGCCGCCGGATTGTCAACATCTTTTAATGTTCTACGATCATAAAAAATACAACAATAAGGTGCCAGCACTACGTAACTATTAATGAAATAATATGACGGAAACAAATCAAAGGGTTCTAAATCGGATTTAACATTAGATATCCCTTTTTTTTTTTTGCATTTCATACCTGATTGAACTGATTGTAACAGGAAGATACAATGTTCACATATGCAGGAAAAGCCAGAAGCAAGGTTTGCATCTGCACTCAGATCCTCGTGCTATTACTTTTTCAGACCCTAGATCAAAAATGGAACTTGTCTATTTCGAAAATGCCTTTTGCTTGGGTTGTTGGCAGTAACAATCGCAGTAGAGGAATCATGGTTAAGGACAGTGGAGCTTTTGCTTTGATTTTCTCGACAGCAGACTTTATGACACGGAAGGATGGTATCCCATACCACAAAAGATACCAAGAAAGAAGCATAGCATCCATTTTACCCCCGTCACTTTGGCAATCAGGCCAAATTCCAGAATCCAAATATTTGAAGACGTTCTCATTCAGACTTTGGGAACATATCAGGATTTCTTCCATATGCCTTCTAAGTGATTGAATGAATGTACATTGGATGATGGATACACTACCACAAGACAATTTGCCATTGATGAGAGCCTCATTATAGGCTAAAGCAAGCTGCAGGATGACAGGAAACAAAATATTTTAGTCGAACAACTACTTCCATGTTATCACCAATAAAGAAGAAAAGGAGCAAGATAATAATCTAGATATACTATTCTTCGAATATTTTTACAACATATGGAAGTAAATGAAGATTTAGTGTCAAACAAAACAACACACAGAAATTAATACAACGAGCAACATTGAATACTTAGTTGAGAACATTGATCGGTTAGTTCACACTGTAAATACTGGCACTGATATTCAATAAATTAACGGGTGGAGACACATCAGGTGTATTAAAGAGGTAAAACACTATACAACAGAGAATCCTGAGAACTTCTACAGCAGTAGGAATAAATTATCTCCGAAAATTTGTAAGGAACCTAATAAAAGTAGAAAAAATTGTAAGCACTTGCCTTTAGGCTGGAAAGAAAAAGTGAATCTTCAAAAACAAGACGACAACTTTTAACCTGCTCCCACATTGCTTCAATCGTCGTATACAGCGAGAGATAGATCTGCATGCTCAGCCACAATTGGAGGATTAATAGAAAGATAAGAAACAGAGAAAATTTTATAAATATAGAATGCACCTGAAGGAGAGCCGGCCTGTCTTTGCTCACACACTCAAATAGTAATTGTGAGCAGAACTCCTGGAAATTGGCATCAGCCCTGTAATTCACAACACCAGTCAAACAGACGGTAAATCATGTCTTATCGTAATCTTTCTAACATAAAATCACACTCTGAGAAACAAAGGAGAATCATAATGAATTATCAAAATAGATTCAAGAATTCATGACAAACTGGTTGCAAAAATTTTGGGTTGGTTATATAGATATTTCTTGTCATAAAGCACCATTAATAGCAATATCTCTAATGGAACTACGAGTGATCATCTTGTCTAAACAGTACCTTTTTATTTCTTTTCTGAACATATCCAAACCACCTTAAAAATATTTTTCTCAAATTCCCCTTGTTTGGTAATACCATTGACAGTTCATGAGCATAAACAATTCCCATTTTGTCTATTCTAGTAAATCACAAACACAATCATAGTGTTGACAAAAGGCACTCGAACACTGCTATCTGCTAGGGCAACATGAGGCAACGTGCCTTTTGCCTTAGTGATGCCTTAGCAAGCACATCGTTTTGGGCGATGGGCTTTCTAGGTGCACCAGATAGCCTTATAGACTGTGCCAGATCTGCATTCGACCACCCAAACCTAGTTTAGTTCACTCAAGTTGCCTGACCAATTGAGCCTAATTCTTGCCCAAACTACTTTCTATCCCTAATCTCTGCCTTTGCTCACGAAATCCTCTCTCACCAAGTGTCCTTTTTAAATGATGTGTGCATGCTCTTTGCTTGGCTCTACACCCAACCGAGGAATCAATTTCATGAAGGCCCGATAGCAATTTCAGAGTAAGATAAGAAACCAAGTAAAAAATGTAAAACAAAACTATAGACGATTTCATTTTTCCAAAAATTTCCAGAGTTGAGAAATCAAGTAAAAAATTCTAATACAAAACTACTGAAGATTTCATGTTTTTTCAAAAAAATTGCCAGTCAAATCAGGATGGTACTAGACTTGCCTACTATTCCAGGAATCACAGCAAAGTTGTGCAAAACCTATCAAGCTTGGATCAGCGGAGAATGTACTGACTAACTGATCAATTTTGTATGAACCAGGTGCAGAGTTATTGTTTCTTGTGTTTGAGCAGTTCATATCCGATGTATCACAAACCTGTAATGAGAATGCAGCTTAATTGTAAATGAAATATGCTAGAGAGAAAATTATATACAAAAAATTTAGCAAGTACACCTAACCTTGTGCATTGCTCTTGAAAGCAAAGATTGACAACCAATGGGGTCATCCACATAGGAACATGAGCCAACTTTTCTCTTTATGTACAAGATACCACCATTAAAAGGGCCAGTCTTGTCCCTAAATCTCCACCAAGGTTTATCTTTTCAAAAGAAGGAGATGCCCATTAATTAATTAAATATTTAATTGAAGGCAGCAAAAGAATTGTTTGTTCCCATAACATTACCTTCAGGAATAAGCTGTATGACTTGAGGCCAATACCTAGGCCCACAAACTCGAACTGTCTTCAGCTGAAAGTGAACTTTAATTATTAAAATTCACCAATTGAGTTCAGAATTTATGTATTCCTCTATGCACTATTTTTTGTGATGTTTATACTTAAGAGGAAACATATATATACAAGTTAATGCAAACAGAATATTGAACAGATATGAAATATTGATTTGACATAAACTCAAGTTTGGAGATACTACTGATTAAGATTTAACAAGGTTCCACATCAGTATTTTTAGGCAAAGTTGCTGACCAGTAAAATTAGCAAAGGAAAACTGCAACAGCATTAATCTAGAGTTTATGGTATTTAAAATAATCCTACAGATAGTTTCAATCAAGAAATAACCATTCAAAAGATAATGAGAAGAGATTATGTACACACCACAGAGCGTTCTGGCAGAATGCAGGGGGTAACTTCACAAAAGCTAGTCTCAGAATAGTGTTCTGTTTCCTTGATTGAAACTTCAAGGGGACAATAAACTGGCAGACCTGTATCAACATCTACCGTCTGCACCCGACGAGACTCAGCAGCAATTACATACAGATGTCGGAAAGCCTATAAATGCCACAATGAGATATACTAAATAATTATAAAAATAGAATATACACACACACATACATAAAGCTGATGCAGAAAATCTGGTGTACCTGAAGGTGACAACGATTATCACTAGGACCAGTAGGAAGACGAGGATAAAGAGTCATTAAAAGTGCAGCGACTGCACTATTTCCAGTTGAAAAGGTTTGCATACCACCCCCAAGAAATAAAAATCCGATGGCTAAGCTAACCTGCAGCAATGTTAAAATTAAGGACTAATTTTAAGATTAAACATATCCAGCAATGTTACAAAAGCAGCCAGACCCTTATACATCAGGTCAAGGCACTGCAGTGCATATCCAGTATGTGGGTTCATATGCATGGTCTATATAAAAGTAATGCACAACCAAAAACAAAATCAATGACACAATACAAATCCAAAAAATAAATAAATGGCAAACACAAATAACGGCAACATTGTGAACTTATGCAAATGAACATGTAAAATTTATTATCAACCACATTTCTATAATAACATGAAACCACATTTCTATGTTTGTACCGTCAGCAAATGCATCTGCAAAGGTACTTGCAGTAACATATGCAACCACATTCCTCTGCTACGTAGACTGTACAGGTAGCTCATATGTGGTTAACCTGCATATCAAACCTGCATACACCTTTCATCAAATGCTTCTCCGAGATAAGTTGCATGTGCTCAAAAGCTCCTTTCATCTTTGGCACCATGCAAGATAAGTTCCCTCCATCAGAATGAAAGACCCATGGAACGACGTGATCCCACTCTTACCTCTGCAAGAGTTCATGCCCTTGACCTCTGTCCAAGGAAAGCTCTATGCCTTCGCTCCATGTTTCATCTTCTATGCCTCCCTTCATGCGACTTGGGTACATCGCCAAGTTACACCCAAGTTGCTCCGCACCTCGATTTACATTGAATTGATGATGGCCCTCACGCCCACCATTCCACGGGTCAACCCTCCATTTAAGTCCGATCTCCATATCAACTCCAAGTGTGCTTTCATTTGTGTTGCCTTGGATCGCTCCCCTACTTGATCTCGTAATGCATCCCCCAATACATTATCTCATGCAAGATCATATGACGATTCCCCACCACTCGCTCGGTCTGTTAAGCTTTGTGAAGTTGTTTTGAGGTACTCCTCAACATGTGCGGTCCGTTGCACATAGTTCTCCCTCTGGAGAGCCGGGACTTATCCCTCCCGAATATCTATCCCGTTGAAACAACTTCTCTCTTCGCTTCCTTCTCTTTGAAAGTTTCGGAGATCACCATCCATTTGGACTACTCCGCCTTGCTGAACAAACTGTGCATTATTCTGTCTCTCGCAAACGCACTTGCTAGATTACGACTCCACGTCAATATAACCACCGCTACACCCCTCAAGGCCTAGCAACATACTGAACTCATTACACACTTCAGTCTCCTATGAATATATCCTTCTCAAGCCGAAGAGAAAGTTTCAATACTCTATGGCGCCAAGCCTCCTACGGGATGGCCACGAACGCTCCATCGTTCGCATACAAGCCCTTTCATGAGTACCGAATTCTTCGAATTAACAATTCCTCTCACCTCTATGGGCTTTGCACAACTTTTTCGATCGATGAACAACCCATTCCACTTTACATGGTCTCATCCTTTACCAAGCGCCTCGCTTGCCTTGAGCACCATCAAGTATGGTTGCCAACGTTGAGCCATAGCTCAAACTCATCCATCTCAACCTTTGTACGCATTCTTCCTAACTTGCTTGTCCTAGTGGTGCCTCTTGCGCGAAGGGTTGATCATTCCTCTGAATGTCAATCTCAGATGCTCGCTCCTCTGAGCGACTCCTTTTCCCTAGATCTCTATGACTGTTTTTCCCTAAACGGTCGCGCATGTTAGCTGCCCTCAACGCAGCCCCGCTAGGTCCCCCACGTTTGCATGTCAAGTGTTTCTATAAGTGTTTGTCCCGCTCTGATACCATTTGTCACGGACTTGGTTGGTTTTGCCTAAATCGTGCGACACCCTTGCGTATCCCTCCGTAAAGGTCAGTCTCCCTGAAATCTCCTATGGTCCCTTAGGACCTACAAAAGAGAAAACGGGTTAGAGAAAGAATCTCACTCGAGATCCACAAGCAATCATTTCAATAAACACTTCATATCCAATACAAATTATAAACAGAGTTTACAAGCTCTGAACGGTCACACAATAAAAGATCCAAAATGGTCCACTACAGACCGAAATCCCCACAAGTGCCCACATGACACAACCTTTGTTTGCAAGCCTAGGACGACCACCAAACCCAACTAAAATTGGGCTATTAAGCCTACGACCGTCCCTTTACATGGTGTGCAGAGCATGAACAAACCAAAAGACACGGACATATATGTACATTACATTAAACACCCCGTTTACAGTTTTGTCCATGACAGTATGTCCAGCCTGGTCATGTCAAGCTGCATAAGACGTTAGCAAACTTTGAACAGGTCAAAGTGCAGTTAGTTGAGCTGCTACTAAAGATATAACATTCTGAGACAATGTTTATATGACATGACTTTGACACATGATGTGTTAGAGACAATGTGACAGTAAATGACAAAAGTACACCAAAATGGGCATAAAAAACATATATAATCAACAAGAGGACTGCTATGCTCAAATGAAGTAAACTAGTGGTTAACAATTATATTGAAAATCCAATTTGCAATAACTAGGGAATGAACTGCAGTTGAGGGTGAGATTTGGTGGCATGAAAATTTTTTTAAACAAAGTAGGGGTAAGGTGCCTCTTGTATAAATAACCTTATCTACTTTGGCTCATTCACCACATGTGCACAGTACTAAATCCACTCTAATACCAATTTTCATGACTCGACGTCAAAGGTCCACTAGTACAAGAAACCAGATAAATGGTTCTATAATTATGTGAACCAGCAAGCCTGGACTATGAATAATGAGACCATCTAGCCTTTACACCCTTTTTCACTTCTGATGTAGAACTAACCAGGGTACCACACTTAAGAGTAATTCATATGAAAATGTTAAGGCATTATAGATTTCAGCATCTTCAATTCTTGCATTACTTGGAGTCTCATGCACTGACCAACTCTAGGTATACCTAGTCACTGAAGCAAACAAGACATAATATCTCAACCATCTGCGGACCTTGTCATGAAGCAACAAAACATTTTGCATGCTTACAAAATTAGTGTATAATGCCACAGACCCAGGTCATGGAATAGGTTCCACAATATGATTCACAATGTACTAGTGTGTGATCTAACTTCCAAGAAACGAAAATTATTCAGTTTTGTAGACGTCACATAAATTCCCACTAAACAAACACACTCTAAATTCCATTCAAGAATGGAATAACTGAAAACAACAAAATAATAAAACTAGATATTGTAGTTTTCAGATGTCCAAGACCATTATTTTGACCCAGTTGAATGTATAATTAATGGTTAGTAAGTCCAAAATATCATAATTGATACAGTAATCAATTCAAGTAAATTAACCTGTACCATGACTCTTAAAAGGGACTAACCCTACTATCAACATACAAGAACCAAAGATATCCGTGTACCAGGTTCTATGGTACATGCAACCAATGACCCACATTACAAATGACCATGGGATAAACCAGGCTCTAAAGCTTATAAAACACATTTTCAAAATAAAATCTCTTTGACCTATAAGAACCTAAGGCATCATAAATACCATATATTAAGGACCGAGGATAAAAAAAAAAGCATCAGCATATGCAATTTAGTCATTACTCACAAAAGGTTCTATGCACAGATTCACTATAATAATGTCAGGATCTCATTATACCCTGAAATATCAGACAAGTTTCACTATCAAACTTTAGCATAAATATCAAAAACGAAACTAAAGTCAGGAAAAAGAAAAGGGACAATCGTGAATCTTGAAGTACTTTTCAATTTTCATCATGACAAAGCTTTTCAGATATTTTTCTGATAGCATGTGTACATCTTAGATAGTAAAGACACAAAACCTACAGTCATTTGGATTCCATAATTTATGTGCCCTTCTGTAGAACTTCGACCACGCAGGTATCTCAATAACCGAAATGTTTGTAGATGCCCAGATCCTGCCATAACCTATTTTACAAAAATACATCATATGAATGGGATACAAGTTCAAAAATTTCTATAAAACCAGCATGATATGTGAACAGAAATATATATTATTAAAAAAATCTTGTAAAACTTATCACATATGAACCTTGAAAGCAATCTAAATCAATGTTTTAAAAACCTGGTCAGATGATGCCAGTATATACTACAGTTGATTTTTATTCAATGATATTGGTGATACAAGTCAATCGGTATGCCGCCCAATACGCTAGTACTACATCAGTCAGATAAATTACCGACACCGTTATTGAGCATGCATTTAAAACCATGATCTAAATCAACTAAGTATGAAGGAAACAACACATAGTCCTACCATAACAGAAATGGAAACAAAAAAAAGGAAAACTTAGCAAGGTAATCATCAGTAAAATGCACAAACCCATATTACTGTTACTCAGCCTGTACAAAAAATTTGCAACAAACAGACATGTCAACATAGGTTCACATATAATGTGCAAAACAGACTGACACAACCCTCCCCTAAGGCTCAACACAGTGAAATCATTCCCTTAAAGATACGAAGAAACGTATTTAACCCATAGTGGCTCCATGACTTGGTAAGCCTCAAGTTTCAAGAGTATCATGTGACTCTTACGATGATTATCTAGTATGAAAAAAAAAATTGCAGTCCATATCAGCCCAAATATGTGTATCATGCAATCATGTACACACCTATATATCTGCACATGTCATTTCATTTTCTTCTTTACAACAATCATCTGAACTATCATTTATGTTCATCATGTATAGACATGAGACATTACATTGCTCCAGTGTCTTATGACTTCACCCAAAAGTCTTATATCTTCGCCCACTTCTTATTAGTTGTTGCATAAAAACTACTTAAAACTGGTATAAGATCAATGTTTTGGAATATAGCTTCTGAGAGTACGATCATGGTACCTCAAGACATGTGGTATGCAGCCAATTTAAATAAGTATTCACAACATTTATAAATGTAAGTCCTCTAATCCTATGTTCTTGTCCTTCACATCAGGTGACTAGGAGCCTTCTTGGCCTTCTCCAATTCAGCTTAAAGAAAAAAAGTATTAACTGCACCATGCTTGTGTCCTGTAAGTACGAACAAGTCAGTAGACTAATCAAACCATCTCTAAAGTGAGTCAAACTCGTGTAGGTCACAAAGCATCCACATAGGTGTCTAATATATCATGAAGGGTTGATGTGGTAGTATTCGGCCCCTTAGTTCCCAGCCAAGCTATCCTATGCATTAGGACTGCTTCAATTAATGACCTGGAGCCTCCAAACCCACCAAGTTGGTTGGCCTTGCCCTAAGCATGTAACTAGATCGATATACAAATAGGTGATGTCGCTCAGGTCTTGTCTGAAATTAAAATTCAACATCAAAGCACTATTGTATATCTTCTAACATTGTTCAGGCCACTTAAAAAGCTAAAATGGCCCAACCTATGCCTCCAGAATTATCTGACCATAGTGGTTACGGGGCAGAATAAATCTACCAGAATCCATGGCTGATCATACTAGGAAAGATAAAGAAATAAGGATTTTCATTCCTGAATGATTAGGTGTCACCTAAATAAAATATAAAATGAGGAAGAATCATTTAAAATGATATAGAAAATAAAATAAGAGAGAATCATTTAAGATAATATGGACATGTGCTCCGAAGAAGAGGTGAAATGATTAGTAGAGAGACCTAAAAAGACTTCAATAGAAACTATAAATAAATATTAAAATATTTATAACTTAACTAAAGATATGACTCTTTATATTTATCTCGATCGTGGCAAAAGATCCAAGCAGTCAGTCTCAAACAGTTGACACAATGACAGGTTATGGCTTTGTTGTTGTTGTAGCCCCTGACTGATCTAATAAGGATTTGCCAAAGGGTGCATCTTACCATAAGCAGATATAAGCATTGCCCATCTTTTGCCATAAAAGAAGTTTCTATTATCCCTGCCATAATAGGATCACACCAAAATTAGAAATTTGTTTTCCGATGGACAATATGTGACTAGAACATCAGAATCCATGACTAATGGGAAAAAAAGAAAGTGTACTTCACCTTTTTAGGAACAACCATGAACCTTATAAGGGCTACAAAGTAGCACGGGTTATCGTTTTGTGGCATGTGGTTATGTTGACACCTTTCTACCTACTCTAACCCCCCTGCATAACCATGTTTTAGTATCATCAGTGTCTCTGTTAGAACCCTTGCAGATTCTAAACTTGGGGTTGATCTCTTTAGGGGATCGGCCTCCTTGGAACTCTATAGGGGTTCCTCCCTCCAAGTTGCTGCTCAAAGGCTGCAGAAAAGATTCATCAATTGCTTATCAAAAGAGGAGGAATACATGGTTATTTATAGGGTTTCTAAACCCTAACTCCTAATAGGACTCCTACTTAAGACTCCTACTTCTAACCAACTCCTAATAGGACTTCTACTCAAGACTCCTATTCCTTTACAACTCTTAATTCATCTCTAAGAAACAACCTTCTAATCCTAGCCGGCCTCTTCACCTCTTTAATAGGGGTCGGCTTAGGTAGGTTTTACATGAATGTCCCTCTCAATTAGGACTCTCCTAGCTAGAGTCCTAACAGTCTCACCAATAATTGTCAATACCTTTTTGGTGCAGCATGCACTAGATGCTTGACACAACTATCATTGTTTGCTAGTCAACTATAGTTATACAGTTTGAACTTAAGGTTATATAGCATCAAAACAAACTAGAAGAACCTTTTTTATCCACTTATTCAATGAAAAGATGTATAAAGAGTTCTTAATCAACCTCACAAATGCATTATGTGCCTATTAGAGAAGGCAGTCCATGAAAAGTTGGTCCCAATAATAAAAATGCACGATCAGATGTTGTAAATTTATGTTATAAAAGAAACAGATGTGTTAGAATATGTAGCAATTTGGGTAATATTAGTGATATGCAAATAACAACATTATTTGATCTCATTAAAGCAAAGAGAAATGAAAATTCTAACCAAAGAGAGAGAAAGAACAATAAGGTGCAGGCATATCTCTGAAGTGCCACGGTCCACGTATTGTAGCATTCCTTTTGGTAAGGTAATGTTTGTTGTTGCCGGCACATGCTTAATCTGCATAGGTATCAGTCAATGTTACATCCTTCAAATAGATTGCATAATTAACCAATAGGCACTGTCACATATGATGACGAAAGTTTAGAATTAAATTAAACCTCGTTCAGAAAATAGATTGCATAATTATATAGCAGCTCTTGGGCTTCTTCACTTTTGGTGCCAGCATACTTTATTCCTACAAGCAGGTTCAATGCTGATTAATGAAAGATAAGCAACAAACACACACTTCAAAATATATTGAAGCCTTACGTAGGTGAAGAAATACTACAAGGGAGAAAAAAATTGACCATGGTCCACATACCATCTGTACTAATTTCAACTCAACAACAAGGTAAAGCACTACAAAACTAAAGAGCTAAATTAACAAAAGCATTTGATCAAACCACAAAAATTATACATTTAAATATAATGTTCCGATCATTTAAATATGTGTAAATAGATAGATAGATAGATAGATAGATAGATAGATAGATAGATAGATAGATAGATAGATAGAGAGAGAGAGAGAGAGAGAGAGAGGGTAGCATTGAGAGGATATTAAAGGGGGAGATTTTTGAATTAGAAAGACTTGCTTCATTTTGGATTAACTAAATACTGCACAATGAAGTTGACATTATTAAGTTATACAGCATAGTGATAGATGGGATTGCGAAAAACATGGTTGCATATGGAACTGAAAAAGAGAAAGAAGCTCCTGCCAATGATGGACCTCACACATACAAGCAAAAGGACTGTTTCTACGACTAAAATCTTGGTCATTCAGGTTCCAAATGAGCAAGTTTACCATGGCACCAAGGCTCACCTCTCATACTCTTGCATACAGAATAATTTTTTTTGAAAAATTGGATGATATGATCATTAGTTCTGAAAAGAACCATCAAAGAAGCTGGGATTGAAAGTCTTCATAATAGAAATTTGATGACAACTGAAATGGAAGTCTGCAATGAGAGAAGAATAAAGTACAGTTGAACAGTCCACTGTGAAACAAATAAGAAATATTGTGATGTATTTGGAGGTATTAAATCATGGGTGAGGGTTAGAAACCAGAGACCAAAGCTGAATGAACACTCAGAAAAGGAAGATCAAAAAGGTTCCGAATGCTGAATCACTGAAAGAATTATGACATACAGATTTGACAACCTACATTAATGCGAATGTACTTTAAATCAAGATATGCAATATCATACTGTACCGGTGTTTCGAGGTTGGCTTGGTATGGTACGATACCGGTATACCGAGCGGTACACCAAGATGTACCGAACAATTTTATATATTTTCTTTCTTACTGTAGCACTACTACAGTATAGTACTGTAGCACTGTAGCACGTTCCGTCCAGTACCGGGCGGTCCGCGTACCGGTATGCCATCGGACCGATATGTACCACCCGTACCGGGCGATACCATTCGGTACTGCATACCATGCTTTAAATTACAGAAAACTTGGTCAAATCCCACCTAATCAAAGATGAGAAAGAAGCAGCCTTTTTCAACATATACTATATATGTAACCATCATAGATGTAGAAACTAAATTACAATATTACTGAAGTAACTGTGATGAAGAGATTGTTCAAATACCAAGTGAAATGCAAGCACCAGCTACTATGTTCACATAGGCCTGAACAACAGCTTCAGCATCAAACTCATCATCATCAACTACTCCATCTAATCTCAAAACCCCTAATTTGATAATATCAGGAATTTGAGATTCAATCCAGTTCCTAGATGGCTGCATGCTGAAAATGTGTGAAAGTTAGTATTACCAATGAGTCAACACATGAGTATATAAATAATAAACAAAGTAAATTACTTGCTCCACATAATCAAATTCCGTGTGATGACACGAAGCATGATAAAATCAGGCCTCACATACTGCAGATCAAAGTGAGTTACTGGAAGATGGAGTCTAGACACCATTTCTTCTGATTCTGTCTGTAATACGAAATTGAACAGCATAACAAGCCAAATATATATTGTGTAAAGAAACAAGAAACACAAATAATAGTACCCATTCGTTGCCTGCCCATTATGTAGCATATTGTTTATAGAGAGAGATTACAATACTTGAAAATTTTTCTTCGTAGTAGAAACTCTACCTTCATAAATATCAGTGCTAGTGCAATTGTAGCACCAGGAGCAGTTACATCAACATTTATGTGAGCTCCATCCACCATCTGGATAGAGAACGACAAAATATTTTTATATGTCAATACTTAATCATTAAATCTTCTAGGATACTACATAAATTAGGTGAAACTCTAATATAATTGACAAAAACTATTCAGCAAGAAAAAAAATGTACTGCAGCAAACGTGTCACCTGCCCAAGAATGCGGATGTGATCATCTGTTGTTTGTGACACTACTGAAGATTTCCCCTACAAAATAAAACCAGTACAGTGTTGGAAAAGCTAACAAAAACTGAAGATAATTATTAAAGATAGTCCAAATTAATATCATTTTATTAAGACAAGCAGAAGATGTACATTTTGAACTCCTTTCTCGCCAATATAGTGAAAAAGTCGATCCACAAAACTGTCAACAAAACCAAATGCACCTTTCCCACGACCTTCCGTGAAGCATTCATTCAGTCACTAAGACAAATATAAAAAAAATTATGTTCCAACAGATATTACAAACCTAAAGCTACAAGTCCCAGTGCATATCCAGCAGCAACAGCATATCCTTCTCTTTCAAGCACATTATCACCACCACTTCTTCGACCTATCTCTCCCTGCAAACAATTAAATGTAACATCTGAACATAAATTATTCAACTTTGAAATTAGAATGAAAAACTAAAAGTGTTTTTGACATATTTTACAAATGGAAAATCCTCAATAAGTAGATGCTCGATGCAGAAAACAGAAACAGAATATGCCTGTATTTAGTGAGCTCAACATAAAATTTGAATAAACAAGAAAATATGACATACTAAAGCAGCATGCATGTGAAAGCATATTACCAACCTGACAAGTAGTTTTAGATTTCAAGTAATAAAAATGAAAACCCTGAAGGCAAGAGCCTAGTACAAAAACCAGCATATGCAGGTAATAATCCCAAGGCACTTGGATATGTATAAACATATAAAACCACAGTATTTTGAACATGAGGGTATGTGGCTAAGAAAAACTCATATTTAGACATGCAGTGTACAAGAACAGGTTACACGAATAGAGCAGGAGACATTCAGCCGCACCTCCCAGCCATGATATTGTTATCTTGAATTCACAGAGTAGTCACAATTATATTTAGTCATAATTATATCTCTGAAAATCAACTTTGATTTTATGCTTGGAAGATAAACAGAGGAAGCTACATATTTATTGAGACAATTAATGGAAACGTACAAGGAGACAATTAATGGAAACGTACTAGAAGAAGAAAGATTTGCATATTGTTTCTATTGATTTAAAGAAGGCTTACGATAGAGTTCCTAGATATAGTGGTGGATCTAGAAAAGAAACATGTTTCTACTAATTATATTCATGTTATACAAGATATGTATAATAGTGTAGTCACACAAGTGATCACACAATACTTTATTTAATAGAACTTCTTGGATTAAAAATAAATTTTAATCTACTTTACTTAATATTCTTTATTATAAAAAAAATCTGTGTGATCATCGGGTACCTCTTAGATTAAATAGAAATGTTTATAGGATCATTGTTAAACCAACAATACTTTAATTTATGGATTTGAATGTTGGACAGTCAAGAAATAACATACACAAAGTTTTTATTGTCAAGATGATAATATTGGATGGATGTGTGAAATTACTATGAAGGATGAGAAAAGAAATGTGTTTATTCGAGGAAAATAGTCTAACTTCAATATAGGATAAGATAAGAGAGGACCGTATAAGGATATATGCTAAGGAGATGCATACATAAAGATGAGAAAATACTAATATTAGTAGTACGAGAAGAAGTGGAGGGAGCACTAAAAAGTCATTATTAGAAACTAAAAATAACAATTTAAATTTTTTAATTTAATTAAAAATATATTTTTTTAAGAGCTTAATGGCGATAAAAGATCAATGTGGTTGGCCCTAAATAGTTGAAACTTTACAGCTTTATTGTTGTTGTATACCAATGAACAAAGTCTTCTATAGATACAAAATATAAAGGGTCAGTTTCATACCTAGAACCATCAATATCTCACCCAATCTTTTGGCATTTACGTTGATGAGGTTTAAGGTCATCAACATGTTGATTGTATCTGACATAATTTCAGGTAGACACTAGAAAGTTTCTGAAAAATAACTGAATACCTAGACATAATTGAAATGAAGAATATTTTCATTCAATTCATCTATTATATTCATTAAATCAAAGTAAACCCTAGACACTAAGAGATTGCTTACACTCCATGAGATGTAGAAAAGGATGAAACAAATGATTGACCATCTTGACACACGGCATATGTTTAGTTGGCTGAAAGCCAATACTTCAGAATGACTCCCAAACAACAGTTCTTTAATTATGCAGTAGACAGTGATCCACCAGGTCTACATCACTTTCTATTTATATGGAGTGAAAACACAATGTAGGAGAATCAGCAGGAAACAATCATGGTTTATAGTATCAAACTTCTATCCTGAGCCGGCTACTTCCTATGCAAGTAAAAGAAAAGGCCTAACACAAATTATACTGTTAATAGTATCAAACATCTATCATGAACTGGCTACTTCCCATGCAAGTAAAAGAAAAAGCCTAACACAAATTACACCTCAGTACACAAAGCACCAATTAATGGATTTGTTGGAGCAATAATGAGTATTCTGTTATAAGCACAAAGACAAATCAGCTTAACATGAGAACTAGACACATCAAGAAACAAGGCACAGAACAGTGAAGTACAATGTCATCCGATGATGACGAAGGCTACACAAACAAGACTATAATTTTTGCTCTGAAATGTCATTCAAATCAGTTATGACCCCCTTTTTTGTGACTTATAACCTTCAGTCCCTAGTTATATTAGCACTTTCATTGTACTTGATAGGAGTGCTAAAATCACTTGCATGTACTAAATAATATCTTATCTTAGATTTCAACAACCCAGAAGACATTAGAGGACTTAATGTTTTTCAAAAAGTTGCAGTGGAAATTCATCATTTACATACCAGAAGTATCTTCATGGTGAATGGGTGGGCTGAACCTTCATAGAGAAGCCCAATAGCCACTAGTGCAGCTGACTAAAGACCATTTAACAAAAAAAGATCAAATCAGAATCATAAACATTTTATTTTTTGCCAAGTGTGGCATCAGCAAACACAGAATTTTAGACGACACAACTTCAAAAAGAAAAGATGTGACAAAACAAAATTGAAACTTACAAGAGAAAACATGAAGAACAAATTTAACTAATGATCTTAGTAGTTTAAACAGATACCATAGTGTTCCATATTTTCAATCCGTAAAGTGGCATAATAAGAAACCGAATCGTATAAACTAAACAAATTTTCACATCAATACAAAGTTGCCAATGAATGTTGAAAGAGCATGTCATCCATATAAAGGATTTTATAAGTGTACATTGATCGGTACAGACTGGTACTGACCAGTACAACAAACCAACCGGTCCATGGATGATCCAAAACCAATTGTAACCGATTGGTACCAGTCTCACCGACAGGTATGTGTATTGGTACTCCAACAGGCCATTAAGCATATAGCCTGTAGACCGATCCCATCTTCAAACTGGATTTGAAGCATCCAGCAGAAGTCTTTCCTCATTTTCTCATATGATGCCTATCATTATCCACTGCTCTCGCAGATCCCAAGGTCTTCTTGTCACATCAGACCCGGACATCAAGGATTCTTGGCATATGTCTCAAATTTAAGGAAAATATGAGCATGAAAGATACTACTTGCTCTCAAAGAGAAGTAGCTTCCTCATAAAGGAGACCCATCCTATGAAATTTGCAAAATATGAGATAATTTAAGATCACATCAGAATAAGTATGGCATACAAGGATTTTGAAATTGATCACAGGAAAGATTAAGTACAACCTATGAGGACAAATCATTTGATCAAGAAAAAAATAATGCCACCAAAATGGTGATGTCTGCATGTAAGGTTTGTACAACATACCTTATCTCCACATATTGGATTTCCAAATGTAATTACCATTGCCGACAGAGGAGCTACATTGGCCATAATCAGGTATAATTGGATGGAGGAACTAGCATGCATAATTGATAACTTGAAAAACTTTCATATAAAGAACAAGAACTGGAAGGCGTTTATGCAAAATCAAAATATTTAAGGAACTGGGTGAGTTGTTTTATGACAAAGTTGACTATGATTAGAAAGATTCTCCAATTATATATCACCATTTGCTCTTTCAGTAGATGGATTATCTCAAATTCCACTGACAAAGAGTATCTATAATTATATACTAACAGAAAAACCAAAAAGCTTGAATAGGCATAACTATTGTTTGCCTCGGGAGAATATATGCATATCAGAAAAAGAGAAGTACCTGCAAATTTGTTGGCAATTCCAACTCTGGAAAGGATAACTGGTGTCGAGTGGGAACATGGAGGTAGAGTATCTAAAAGACAACAATAAGGTTAGCTACTTTAATAGATTACATTACAAATTTTGATAGCCCACATCCACTGAACAAAGCTATATGAGACTAATGAGCACCATAATTACAGAAATCAATACACATCTTTAATATATCTGATACTTGTCATGCAGCAGCTACAGTCATCTGAAACACTGGGTTAAACTATTCAAAATGGATGAACAATGTTGGAATCAACAGCGAAGTGAGGCAGATATACAAGAAAATAGTATGTTGAAGTAATTTGATACACATAAAGATGTCTGTGTATTCAGAATAATCTCGCAACAATTAAAGTGAACTGAAAAAGCTTAGTTTCAGCATCAACATTCAAGATTAGGAACCATCTCTACAAGAGCAACCATTCAAACATTCATGTTACTGTGGGAAAGACAAGACAGTGAACATCTACCAACGATATAATGACAGGATTTCTCACTAGCAATCGTCCATGACTTGTGCAAAATAGAGCCCTTTTGCAAACCAATACTCTACAATCTCTTAGGTGGACTGCTAATTACAAGCCAGTGTACAAGATGGGCCAATGTTGTACTAGCTCAAGCCATATCTGGCATTACTAAGGATGTCTCTGCAACCCATAGGAGAGGAACCATATAAGACACAAGTACCCGAACCAGCCTGGACACAGTTAATCGATTAACCATACAAGAGTCTCCAGTTAAAGAAGTCATAAATTTACATGTCTATATATCAAGACAAGCAGTAACTACCAGTAGCATTTATTTTGTATCACAACTGGATTAACTACTCTGAGGCATGCCACTATATCCCAAATGGGTACCATAAAACATTCAGAAACAAGAAAAATAAATATAAACAATAATTACCAATGGGGTAACTAAAAGAGGCATTCCATAATTTTACTTCACCCAGAGTAGAATTTGCATTACTCCATACCATGATTTTCATTATAACAAAACAAAACCTTGAAAGTGAGCAATCAATACCAGCATAATTTCCAATTCTGTTTATAAAGGTCAGCCATAATCAATAATCTCGTAAATAGAAGAATATTGTACACCACAACAGACCTCAAATTCAAAAATGTCAGATCAATCAAGCCTTGTGCCAGATGTTGTTGGCTCATAAGGTCAAGCCAGCAAAAGTAGTTTGTTTAGTTCAAGCAACATCAAAGGTGAATAGAAAAGGCACAAGAAGCTCAAATCTCTTGTGCATCTTTGAAAGCCAATTATTTAATGTCCTAGAAGCTACCTTTCATGATCAAATGAAAATATTTACAGCAATTTTCAGCTTGCTAATACAATCAAAAGCACATTGCTTGGATTTGGAGTAGGATACAGCAAACATTTAGGACATAATTGATGCTACAATTATATAACAAATACATTTTTTTTCTGAGGCAAACAGCCAATACATTTTCAAAGCCAGAAAATTTTCAATGGCCTTTCAATGTACTCCTTCAAATGATAGCAAAAGAAACTGCACTAACAGTTCCAAGAGATAGAACTTGGAAGCATCAGCATGTCTTACCCTGGATATTTCAGGATGCATAGTTCCCCGATACGATGCTGCCACACCAAGCAGTACTCCAACTGTAGTGATGTCATGCTCCTATGCCCCAAAATGTAAAATAGTCATTAGAAGAGTTTGATAAAGCAACATTTTTGTGTTAAATAGGTAATGCAAACATATAATCAAGCACGCATATGAATAAGGAAATGTGAAAGTCCATTGTAGAAAAAGAAAGTAAAAATTCTTTCTTGGCTAAAGAATTTAAATTCACTTTTTACAAGCTATATAGAAGAAAAAATCAGAATGCTCTGCAACCAACATTGTAAAATATTCATTCTGCTTTTAATTCTTTTAGTTTCCCCTAGCTTTTCACCACTTGATCTCTTTCAACCGATTCTCCTCCTCCCATCAAATGCACCCCTTTTTGTTTTCCTGCCTCCTAATTCCACATTCTTCACCTAGTAGATCAAGATTTAGACTAGAAATGTAATGACATCTACTCTCTCTATTTTACCTCCTCCTACATCCACAATCAATAAATCAAAAATTTTTAGGCTCATTGTAATGACCAGGCTACCTGCTTAACACATCTAAGCAGCCACCAATATGGCCCAAGACTTGCTTATAAAGCAGGTAAACATCTTGTGACTCACAGAAGAGGAAAGGTTTAACAAGATAATAAGAATGTCCATATTAGTATGAGTGTGTGTTTATATAGATACACTTATGTATGTTTCATCCATGGTTTACAATACCGTATCGTACCGCTCAGTACGGGCAGTACATACCGGTCCAATAAAGGACCGGTATGAGCAGTACATCAGTATACCTTAGTGTACTATGTATCAATATGCTCGGTACAACTTAGTATAGCTCGATACATACTGTGCCGATAGCTGATCGATACACCGGTACGATACGGTATTCAGACCCTTTGTTTCATCAAACATAAAATGTATGTAATGACTCAACCCTATTTTTCTATTTTATTTGCAACAAACAACTTATCTGAAACTGTAAAATATTTTAAAGTATATCCATATTTATTAGTATCCAGGATATATGGAACCACGGTTGCAAATATCAGGAGATCATGATCATAAATTGGAATCACAATTCTTACACGGCTTCAGAATTGTAGAGATTCTAAAGAACACAGATCAAGCCTCATGCAAGACTCCTGTTACTAAGGGCAAAAAACTTTTGAAGCTCGAGTTACTAGTAGTAGGATATCTAAATCATATACACTGGTCTGCATTGTTATATCCAATTTACGGCTACTCAGGTGGTATCATGCTTAGAAATTTTCTTGATAATGACCAATCTGCCATCATCAACTTCCCTCGCTGATGATCTAATGTAACACGTACTTCATGTGATGAATTTATGTTTCATGACATCATGCTTTTGGAAATTTGTAGATGTAATTATTCTCCAGAGTTTTTCATGTTATTAAATCTACTCTTTAATTTTGGATTTATATGAACCATGAAATTATATTTCAAGATAGTGTTTGTAAATCTTAAATGTATTTCACGTTTTTTTAGTAATTACTTGTTATAATGTGATTCAGTTTTAAAGTAAGACTCAATGACCAGCGGGTCCCTGTGGTTTATAGTAGTCACAGCAATGACCACCATGACAGACTTAATAGGACTCACAGGTACCTCAGGTTTAAGACAATGTCCATTGCTGCCTTTTCAAGTAGATAGTTTAGGTCCCAAGAGAATACAATATCAAGAATGATAGATGTATAGACTTGGCTGTCTAATTGTATGTTAAGAACTAGCTGGCAGAACATAGTGTAACATGTTTAATCTGTGTTATTAAAGAAACCCAACTATCGAATTATACCTGAGTTAAATACCGATATACATCAGTCATAGCCAAAGAACATAAGTGTCCATGAAGGCCTAAGGCTAGAAGAATCCCTGCATGTGTAAAGCTTGGTTCCTCAGGTTTGTTATATTGAATCCAAGTTCTTGACATTTTACCCTGCACAAGCATAGAGATTTTAGTCAATGCAAGCAAGTATATCTTGTGAAATAGTCATCTGACAAAAAAGGACTGGATTTTTCAAAATACAAATGGAAAGAGGAGCATTCAAAAGTAAAACAGCAGCAAATAAAATCAACCTCGAAGGGCGCCAATCTTAATCCAGCAGCAACACCATTATGAAACTCGGGCCAGGATCTGAGTTCTAAAATATTTCTCAAGTTTGGATCTAGGTTTACCTAGTCAACAACAGCATGAAAAAGAGTAAGCGCTATACAATAATGGGACAAAAGTTGAAGAGGTGACACAATTGCTAAAGTTGTCAACAAACACGACCTATAAACTAGTAAAAGAGGTTACAAAACTGAATCAAATGAAAAACCATATATGAAAGTGGCCAATAAACAAAACAGGTATCTTTAGAGGAAAAGAAAAAAAATGAAAATACTGCTCATACACAAAATTTACTTGATAAACAAAGAGAAACTGTGAATATCTATCAATGCAACCACCAAGTTTTTCATGTAACACAGAAACAATCTTCATACTGCAATTCAATCTATTAAAGAGAATTAAGAAACTTCTATTTATCATAACCTTCTATTTAAGAAAGTTATTTAAGAAAGATGTATTTATCATAACCTTCTATTTAAGAAAGATGTAGAGGAGCACTAAATTTGGCATGTGCTAAAATACTAGAGTTACAATTTGAGTTGATTTCAGCATTTTATATAACAGTAGCCACAAAATACGTGGCTAAGGTGCCATTGACCTTCTAGGTGCTAGGTAGGCATCCAGGCAATTGCCAAAATAGGCAAGGTCATATAGCAACTTCATCCAATGACAATGGCAACAACTCATAATTGCATTACAACAACAATAACAACAATAAAACATAATGTCCTAACTATTTGAAGTCAGCTGCATAGACATTTTGGTGCCGGTGAACTCAGAACAAAGCAATATCCTTAGTTAAATTATGAAATTTTATATTTTTTTTATAATATCTATTAAAGTCTTCTTATATCTCTCTACCTCCCCTTGCACCATTAATACTCTCTCAACTATTGGTCTCCTTATCACATGCTCAAATCATCTTACATTATACTCTATTAAAGTCCTATCTCACCCAGTGACTGTCGTTTTGCCTGAACTGATACGAAATGGGCAGCACATAGCAGTCCGAGCATTGATCGATACACAGACCCATCCCGACTCGATCCACTGCATAAAAGGAAAGTGTTAAACTCTAATTCCCACTTCTCACACGAGCCTCGCCTCCGCAAGGAACACGAGCATCACCTCCACATTTGCAAGGCTCGCGAGCATCGCTTCCGATGTTGCGATCAACAATACATGAAGCGACACCTCCGCCTCCACAGGGCTCACGAGCGTCGCCTCCAATACTAAGATTGACGCTTCTCACGCAAGTGACTAACGACGACCTCCACTTGTCGTGACTTCACTGCACACCGCCATGTCTCAAGTAGCTCTCTTCTCTTCCTCTTCCTCCCTCCTCCGTCGCTTCCTCTTCTTCCTCTTCCTTATTCTTCCATCGTCCATTCGTCCTCTCCTTTTTTTTCTTCCTCTCCAAAACACTGGTTCTTACCAATGTACTATGTGTTTATAAACTGGTATAGATCAATACATACCGACCCGAATCTCCGAGTCGGGTCTAACACCCAATTTGGCAAACCTTGATCTCACCTGTTGATCTATTTATCACATGCCCATATCATCTCACATGATTTTTACTTTATACTCTATTGAAGCTACAACTTATTATTCACAAATACAAAATTTTCTACTTCTTTGCTTACTAGTAGCCTCACACATCACCCGAGTATTTTCATCTCGACGACATAAATTTTTTGTATGTGTTTTCTTAACCTAAAGTATGAATTTTTTTTTCCTTTTAATATAAAAGATATTTGGTGTTCACACAAAACTCACAATGTTTGTCCCCACTTTAACCACCTAAATTTTACTTTACGAACAATACCTTCAACAAGTTATCCATCTAGTTAAATAATCGATCAAGATATCTAAAATTTTTACTTCTAGAATATCTACATTTAAAATTAATTTATTCTTTTACTATTACTAAAATTACATCAAATATATGCATATTAGTCCTACTTAATCTTGCATATTTAATTCCATAACTTTTCTCCACAACCCAAGTTTAGAATTAATTCTATTCAAATTATCATCAACTATGTCAATGTCATCAACATATAAAATACAACATGGAGCTCTGTCCGTGGTACTTTTGCAACAAACACCAACTTTAGCGAAGCAACTAGTAGAAGTGGTTGCTTATATCCACACTGATGAAGTGGCAACATAAGAGAAATCGAACTACTAGTGGCAATGATTGACACAAGGCTATACAATGCGATGTCAATTGATGATCAAACTAACAATTACAAATTAGATATGTACCAGTCCCACCAATATTTGAAATCTTAGTTCAAGGTTTCTTGTAGCTTCTAGGACACTTGACAAGTATTTGAGCCAAAGTTCACAATTAGGTGTACCAGCAATGACCAATATTTAAAACACAAATTACAATTTCATATACCAGCATTGTACCGGTTAAGTATGGTCCACACCGATGTATCAAGTCTCAATTGGTCAATACATGTAGAGCTTCAAAAAGACATAAAAAGACTAAAAAAAATTTAAAAAAAAAACTTTTTGGTATAAAGCCTTTACCGTCATGCACCATGCAAGTACGGTACCAATGTACCATCTAGTATACACCGGTTCATTTACTAATAAGCTAAATGCCACTCTTACCATATCATACTGTCACGGACGATCTTCGCGCACCTACAACACCTTCATCAACGAACCATTCGTCGCTTCTGTTTACTTGTACATATGTTTAGCAGTATGTTTTGCCTTGTTTTTGTGTGTTTTTGTAGGGCTGTAGAACGACCGCTCACCAGAATGGGCAAAACTGCCCCAGCATGACCTAGTTTTCGTGTGCCATGGTCTGTTTTTTGTAGGTTGCGGTGTAGTACAAAACATCAGTCATCTCAGCACCTTAGAACCACTATGGTGACATAGGGCTGGATACGAGAACTTGCCAACACACTCGACACCTGGTGAGCAGTCGTTTTGTGGACTTGCGACTATTTGTTACTTTGTTTGCCTTATAAAGTCCTTATTTTCTCCTTTCTCTCTTCTCTCTTGCACACCAAGTGTATAATAAATTGCTTGTAAAGCTGCCCTCTTTGCGAGACGTCAACATTTGTCCGTCGCTCATTTTCAAAACTAATCAATTTACTCTTTTACAAGTCCTTCGAGACATAAGCGAAGTTGTAACTCAATTGACCCTCTGCGAACGAATAACGCAAGGGGTACCCATGACTTAGGCAATTCCAGATAAGTCCATGACAATATGATATTGCAAACTTTGATTTAGACGAAGTTGCCTAAGAACAAAGAGCCTTTTACTTGATAAAATGATTTTAAAGTATACACCATCACTATCTATAAAGTAAAACTATAGATGGATTTCATATTCAAGCATGATTATCATTACCAATTTAATTATTTCCAATAAAATAATGCCTTGATATATGATTTAAGTT